CATTCGTGTCTAAAGTGCCACAGCAGCTCTTTGTCCTCAGGGCTGAGGGGATGTAGGGGATCGGTACCTACAATGGCCTCAAACTGCTTTTTCAAGTGGTTTGGCATCTCTCTCTGACCCCGCTCCCCTCCCTCTGCGTCTTCACCCCCAACAGCCCAGTCCCGGCCCACATCCCGGCTCTTGGGTAGCACCACAGGGTAGCAGTATTTGTCTAGCAAAATGGCGATTGCCATGGAAGAGGCCTTGTCTGGGTTCGTGGCTGAGGTGAGCTTGTCCGCGTTGATGCTACTGCTGCTTTCCTCGCTCTTTTCTGGCATTTTCCACATGTGGAGGATAAACTCCCCCTGGCGGAGCAAGGAGCGGTGATCGATCAGGAGCAGGTTCACGTAGTACAGGAGACGACTCTTGGTCTTTCCTGAAAGCCGGGTGAACACACAGAATAAAGCATTGCTCTGTATATTTTCAACATGTGAAAGAACAGAAAGGGAGAGGACTTTACCATCAAGACTGCTGCTTCCTGCTGTACTCTCTTGATAAGAGCTTCCTTTGGAATTTGAGATCTGGGGTTGCTTCCCACAGATCACCTGGGTGGGAAACCATTATGTAACAAAAGTACAATAGTTACAGCTTAATGATTATTTATTCTACCAACAAACAGAGAATGATAACAGCACCAGAAAGAAATTTCTTAGATTACCTGGAGGTTAAGGCATGCCCCCTTAGGCAGATCCTTGATCTTAATGTTAAACTCCAGCCAGCAGTTCCACAGCACTTCTTCACTGAAAGTTTTAGAGGTGGTTCTCTCCTTAAAAACATAAAAAAATAAAAAATAAAACACTGCTTTTATCACCCTCCAGCCTTTTTCAAACCCATCTATTTCATATATTTTCATGCTGCTTATACATTTGTGGGCAGAAGTCATCACGGGCATGAATGTGAGGGTAATTTGGAGCTTCCAATGATTTCTTTGAACTGTTCTTTTTCTAAGGTGGCATACATCTTTAGTTCAAAAGCAAGAAGTGAGTGCACAAATTTGAAATTCCTTTGAATTTTCTTTAATCCACCCTTAAAGTATACATAAAGGGTCTAAAATATACATGCTGCTGCCACTAATATTGGGTTAAATGTCCCTTAGCAAGTTGCACCTGAACCAGGTGCTATTAGTAGCCAACAATAAATCTCGCTGTATATTTGCATATTCTTCTTGGCAGAATTGGTAGAGTTAATTTAAATTGGTTGGTTTCCTGGCACAGACCCAGCATTTAAGCATAGTCCATAAATTTTGAAGAGGCTGAGGTCAGAGCTTTGCCAAAGCTGTTCAGGAAGCATAATGGGCCATTATGTTTAAACTGCAGATTCCAGGATCAGCAGTTTAAACAATTGTTATTGTAAGTACATGTTAGTTGGATGTCTTACCGTTTTACCAAGGTCTAGAAGAAGACCCAAACAGACCCTCAGAGGGTAGAAAACTGGTCTGAATGTTCAGAAACAACCAAGGCTCAAGCTTGCCATGAACTGGAAAAGTCACTGTCCACAGTTAAGTGAGTTTTCCAATTCCACGGACTGAAAGGCTTGTATAGTTATATTTAACTCATTCACTCAGTGAAGCAGTGGGCAGCAATCCAGCACCCGGGGAGCTCAGTGGTACCTCAGTGCAGCCGTTGTATTTTCAAATTCAACACAAAACTGTTTTATGTCGTTTGTGACACAAACTATCTGCTAGCTAAAGATGCAGTTGCTGTATTTTTTTTCTCTGGGTGAGAAAAAAACATTAAAGTGTGACAGATGAAAGACAGGTGAACGTTAGCAATGCTCATGCTACCATTAGTGAGAGTGCACTGAAGCACCCAATCTTAGGTATACCCTACCTGGCAAGTCTCATTTTAACCTCTGTTTATATGCTAATTATTGGAAGAAGCATACACATAAACACAACAGTCACCTGAAGGTGCCTAATATTGTAAGTTAGAGACCCTATGAGGACGCACTTGGCGACATTGGGAAGGAAAAACTCCCTTTCAACAGGAAGAAACCTTCAGCAGAAGCGGAGGCTATCTCCCGCTGCCAGTTCGGGTAAGTCAAGACATGACCTGGATGCCTGAGAATCTGCATGGACCAAAACTGGATCACAGTCAGTTAAGGAAGTTAACCTCATAATAGTATTTGTCAGATAAATGCACTAAAAATGCTTCCAAAGCCACAACAAAATGATCAAAAGGTTAAGTTAATATGACCTGGTTTAGCTTTGATGAAGACCAGTAGGAAGCCAGTGGTCTAAGTTTAAGTTTAATGCAATTTAAAGATAAAATAAAGGGTAAACAAAGTGTAATTTAATCTAGAGACTGCAGAGGGATCAACTTGGTTTTATGGCTGGGCTTGAATTGTCGTTTGAAAAAGTGTAGTTTTTGTCTCAATTACCTGAGCTAAAAGCTGCTGCCCGTGAAAGATGCTGGCCTCGATGTAGACAATAAACTCCGGGACTTTGGGGAGAGATGGGATGTCAATACCCAGCACCTTCACTCTGAACTTCCTGTTACAGTCCCACATGGAGATGGTGAACACCCGTTCATGGTCCTTCTCATCAATGGTCAGCTGCTCGTGGGTGCCTGAGAGGGAAAAATCAAAAGACTAGGGTTACAAGGTTGGCCATGTGGAAAGAAAATGACTGAACAGCTTAGTTTAACTGCTTACCTGCAACTCCAGTGCAGTCATCAACTTGGGCCCAGTCTTCCTTCTGGACCAGATCCAGATCGGGATCAGGAGGCATCTCCAGAACCAGGTGGATTTCCTCGCCATTCTTCAGGCACTGACGGATCCAGTTAAAGTTCTCCAGAGGCTTTTCTCCGTACAGGTACTCCTCCCTGTGGGACAGCGGCATGCTTACTCTCTAATGTAACAAATAAAATAGTAATGCTGCTCTGTTTCTCTCAACTTGGTTCTCAGTTTAAGCCATCAGCGGCTTTCAAGCCCAACTCGACGGCACGGTTACCTGCCACACACCCGCAGCACAAAGTCAGTCTCACACACATCGTCGGGGATGCCCAGCAAAGCTCTTTTATTCGATGTCTTGGCAAAAAAGCTCGCCAACACCTAAACAAGATGGCAAACTTTCAGGGAACTGTACAGGAAATAGGCAGAGGAAACAGTAAAGATTTAAGTGGAATTCATCACTGCACATCTACCAGTGTTGGTGTGTCATCAATGGAGACTTTGATGGTCTGGCTGGCTGTCCCTATGTGGATTACCACCAGGATGTGGCCATTATTGATCTGAGAGGAGGAGCAGAATACAAAAAGCAACTTGAAAGTCTAAATAAACACACACTAAGACATTTACTCCAACATTTGACCAACAGCTTGCTGACAAATGGTCAGTCATTTACGTTTTGATGCATTCTCAATCATCCAGCTAAGTAAATCTCCAAAAGTTGATTCTATTCATCTGGACGTTGCGTTTTCAGCGGGAGAACCGTTTTGTCACTTATCCAAGAGACTTCCTCAGTCTCAGCTGACTGCAGGTTTCCCCAATCTTATAAACAGTACATTTGCATAATGACAGAAACCAGCCCACTGAAGGAAAATGGGCAGGCAGGTCAGTTCCTTCATCATGATTATGCAAAAACGGCCAAAAGAGACAAGGATGTGACACCGAGGATGTGGACAAGTGGGTGAAGAATTTGTCTAACAGACAGCTCACCCAAACAGAGAAAAACATCCTTGCTTAAGGGTTGAATTTTGCTGTCACGCCAAGACAAATCCTGCTAGTGGAACTGATCACAGCCACAGAAACAACAATATTGCAGAAGTGGAAGCAGAGCAACTACGTACAAAAGTTTCGGCCTGTCGCAGCAATGCAAAGCTCCCAGCATCCAACATCACCATGGAGGAGAGGAAGGCACTCACAACAACAATGACAACAACATTATCATCCTTCCGGTAGACAGGGGTAGGTGCACAGTTTTGCTAAACCA